GTAACGGAATACGTTACAGAATACATTTTGGGGCATGTATTCTGTATTCTGTAATGGAATACATTTTAAAAGTAACCTTCCCAACACTGGTGACAGATGAGTTCAAGGTTAGGATTGTCAAGACCCGGTCCATGCGCTCTCTCCGGGTTGGGGAGGAATAATCCACCCTCCTGGGGCAGAGTTCTGGATTTCTCGCTCCTCAGTCAGTAGGACCACGTGGCTGTGCCTCATCAGACCAGTGCATTTCCCCAGAGTTCTAGACAAGTCTTCTATTGTCTGAATTCCTTTTTGTGTGAAATAAGTCTTTATGAAAAAAGTCTAGGACGGTCTCTCTTGGTTTTGCTTTTGAGTTCACTAGTTTTGCTCGCCTATCAGGCCTGACAAGGGTGGGGCTACATCAGGGATCAGGTTGATGCTGATGACAAGTGGATGGTAGTTTCTGTGAAATGTGTTTGTGATCTGTAGTGAGAGTAGGGAGCAGGTGGAAGAGAGCTTGGAGAGGTGGAGGTATGTTCTGGAGAGCAGAGGAACATCGAGTGTCAGGGTTGATTTGTGACAGAAGGAAGGGTTTGCAATGTGAACATGAGAACTGCTATGATGTCTGGTTTGGAGATTGTAGCACTGACAAAGACAGGATGAAGATTTTAAGCTTTTCACTGGGAATGACAGGACTAGAAAGGAGTATATCAGAGGGACGGCTCAGGTAAAGCAGTCTGGAGACAAAGTCAAAGAGCTAAGGCTGAGATGGTTTGTGGATGTGCAGAAGAATAGTGGATATTTTGGACAAAGGATGCTGAATATGTGGAGCTGTCAGGCAGGAGGAAACGAGGAAGCACACAGATATGGATGTGGTGAAGGAGAACATGGTTCGTTCTCGTTAGCAGACTCATCTCTATAGCCCGGCTTTCTGGAAGGCTGTAGAGTAGCCGTAGCTCAAAACATGTGCCAGCTGATGGACGCTCAGTCGTTTTTTTAGACAAAAGACAAAAACAGAAGATAAAAATCTTTAAATCTTATGTGGATAAAGCAAAAAAGGAGACGTAGGCTATGACAAGATTATAATATAAGAGCTAACTTGAGCTTTTCTTTAATCTTGTTAGCAAACGTTGTATGAAATCAGCATAAAGTTTCGCATCATTTTTGTCTCTCGCTGAGTTTGAGATTTAGTCACGGTATGAGAGCCGGCCGTGACCAAATCTAATCACAGTAAAATAAATTCTATTCTGACGCAAAATATCACATTTTAGGTGTTTAAGTGGCCTGATTGTATTTCAATAGGATGTAAATTTCGTGTCTCCTCCACACGTCACCATAGCAACCGTGTAAAACAGAGCTTTAAAAGGATATTTATTTTAACCCAAACCACCCTCTGTTTGTAACAAAGTGAACTTGATTTTATTTTAAATATCCTAACCATAACAAAGTAATCTTTAATAAATACAGATAAAGTTTGGGAAAAACCGTGACGTCTCTGTGTGAGCCACGATTTGCACCAACCTCCGAGTGTGTGTGTCATTATTAGTAGTATGCTGCGTTCACGCACGTGGGTACACATCAGTAGGCCTACATATGTAGACTGGAGGTCGGGTTCACGAACTCCCTGAAACTGAGCTTGGGATTTCTTAAAAAAGCTGGGATGAATAGCTTGTTCAGTTAAATTGAGTTCCGGGATGATTTTGGGTCCTGGGGGAGGGGGTCAGTCATTACAGGAAATGAAGCTACTTTGAAAAAGATGACAGGACTGAAGAATACGGATGATGGAATTCCACAATTTGTTTTTAATTCAGTTCCGTTTTATTCATATAGCGCCAATTCACAATAACAGTCGCCTCAAGGGGCTTTAAAGACCCTATAAAGACCCCAAGAGACAGATGACCGCCTAGTAAGCACTTGGCGACAGTGGGAAGGAAAACCTCCATTCTTACCAGGAAGAAACCTCGTGCAAAACGTGAAGAAGACTCTATGGGTGAGAGGCGAAAACACCTAACCCAAAAAAAGTCCAGTTGCCTCCTTTCTTATTTTCAAGCTTTCAAAAGCTCAATGACTTTTGCAGGATAGAAAAATGGACCAGGAACAAGCAAGAGCTGCCATTTTTGCTCTGCGCATGTGTGTTAGCATCCTCTTTGATCCCGGGGATGTGAAATTGGCCACGTCCTCTGTCAGGAGATTTAGTCATAGTTTGTTTTGTTGTTGTTGTTTTATGTTTACCCCCTCACAGGTCAAACTTTTCACTTCACCATGTCTGAAAAACTGAACTGAGATAATTGTATCTTCAGTCTGTGCTCTTAAAGACTGACATGTTATAACTTATTATAACATGTCAGTCTTTCAAGGTTGTTAGAGTTGTACAGTCCAGAGAAATGTTCATGTTCGTCAGCTGGTAACAATTCTTCAACTAATAAAGCAAGAACCTACTACGAATATATAGTTTTCAAGCAATTTTAAAATACAAGACTCAAATGATGAAACAACAGATACAGAGGACTGGAGGGAGGAGTGACAAATAACACGAGAAACCAAACAATAAACTAGGACTCAAATGCAGCGAGAACAAGCTTAAAAAAAGAAAAATACAGCATCCAGAGAACGCTAACCTTGGTCCCAAAGGACCATGGCCGCTTGTCTTCATTAAAAAAGTAAAAAGTGAACCAACTGTACTTAAAAAGAAGAAAACTGACTTTTTGTACTCACGGGACACGAATTTGCAGCACATACTCATCTGAACATCATATATTATTGAGTGACAGAACAATGAATTCACGAGACCACGTGGTCATGTGACATGACAGCGATATTAGTGATAAACAGGGGGACAACGCATCTTATCACGAGCCTACAATTTAAATTCATTCATTCTAAAACAAAAAGCGTTTGATCGTCAGACATCGTCTCTTCTCTCTTCTGTGGCTGTGGAGGGTCCTCCCGCACTGCGAGCGGTGCTGTGCCGAAGCTTTTTTTTTTATTTATCATCATATGCTGCCTGCTTCGCAGCACACCGCGTGATTTTTTTTAAAATCACCATTTTAAGCAGCGCTGACGCATCAGAGGGCTTCATGACTGGGACAGTGTGTCGGGATATGGTCAGTTCCTGATGGCCCATGTCTTCCAAAACCAGGCAAGTATCGCCGACAAGAGGTGGATGGTTGTGCATGCATAATGCGCAGTGTGAGCGGTGAGGGGCAGAGCGGCGGGGGTTGTCATCCAGATGTGCTGGATGTAGTCTGTGAAGGTTCACAGACTGGACATTAAATATCAGGATTATCCGATGGTTCAGGGTTTTTGTCGAGGAAATCCTGCACGCGTTTACTAATCTACTGCGAAGATCAATCAGAAAAAAAGAATCAATATTCTGCGGCTACAGGCGTGATTTATACAACCCACGCTACTGTATTATTATTAATATTATTGTTGTTGTTTTTTCAAATGCTCTTAAATTATTACAGAGGTGTGCGTGCCACCCTACCTCACACAAGATTTTAAAAACTTAATTATGTGAAGTATTTCCATTTAAACGCAGGTTCAGGGGCTCTTGGTGATAATGTTAAATATTACTGTTATTAACTCTATTGTTCTGTTATTGTAAATTCACCTAATTTAATAAGTGTCAGGATTCTATGTTTCTATTTCAAAAGTCCAAGTTTAGTTTTGTTCACCTGGTTTTATTTTATTCTATTTCATTTTTAATTCAAGAATATCAAAGCTCCCTGTGAGGCAGGGTATCTGTTATTTGTGTGAGGTTTTTTTTTTTTTAATTTAATTAAAATGTTTCTTGAAGTAAAACTGCCATAAATAATTTAAAATTATATTTGGCTTTCTTATAAGAAAGTGGAGTCATTTAAAACCTGTCACTCCACTGCAAGTCATAAAAAAATAAAGAAAAGAGGGAAGGGTTCAGTTTTGACACATTAAAATATATTCAATTCAGGTTTATTTTCTAGTCCCGCACCCTGAACAGTCACCTCAAAGCGCTGGTGCTATAAGGTAAAAACGCAACAGTATTTAAAACAAAACAAAACTAAACTAAACAAAACAAAACAAAAAAACAATAAATAAATACAACAAAAAAACAAGCAACCTGTCAAAGCAAGCACTTTGCCACAGTGGGAAGGAAACACTACCTTTTAACAGGAAGAAACTTCCTGAAAATAGTGGGAATATTTTCGCATAGAAAATGATTTTTCTACACCAGCTCCTGTCTGTTTGTTTGTTTGTTTTTTGCCTGGAGTGAAAGCATATTTTTACATTTACACATGAATCAGAGAAAGTTGCACATGTTAATGCATGTCCTTTTTTTTGTTTTTATCTCCACAGATTTCCTGATATTGATTCTGTGTGTAATCTGGGACATGGACAGACGGAGCCCAGGAGACAGACAGGCAGACACTAGTAAGACAGTAACCACTGCATCGTCATCATCTGTCGTCACCATGGCAACACCCAGTTCCAGCGCCCAGCCGCCCTCTACCTCCCTCAGCATCCTCCCACCAGACAGACAAGCAGTCCAGGTAATAAACTGCACCTGCGACCGATATGTGTGTGGCTCGTTTAGAAAGTCTTAGTTTCACTTCACAGGTAAAGAGTCGGGGTAATAGACAGGAAGCTGCTTGCAGTCCCTACGCACGGTGTGCTTGACAGGCAAAAAGTCCAAGCTGTGGAAAATACCTATAACTGTTTAATTTTTAAAACACACAGTCAGCGTTGTAGGCAGTACCTAGTATTTCTGTAAAGTGCACACAGAGGACTTGATTTAAAGGTGATCCAAGTAATGAACAGTACCACTAACCTCAGTATGCATTTATCATATTGATATACTGAATATTAATTGTCTATTGACTGTCATTTGTCAAGCTATCAGGTAATACTTTTACGAGACAGTCCAGAGAATAAACAATAGTAGTAATTATGCATCATAGTATATACACTATATTGTCAAAAATATTCACTCACTCATTCAAATCATTGAATTCACCTCTTCTAATCACTTTCATGGCCACAGGTGTATAAAATCCAATACCTGGCATCCAGACTACTTCTACAAACATTTGTGCAAGATCAGGTAGCCCCAGTCCGCTCATGAAATTTCCTCGTCACTAAATATTCCTCACTCAACCGTTAGTGGTATTATAACAAAGTTTGTGACCTTCAGTAAAATCTGAAGGCCACAAACTTCATGCGGCCTTCAGAGCAGCTCAGTAGCAGTGTGTAGAGAGTTTCATTGAATGGGTTTCCATGGCAGCTGCATTCAAGTCTTACATCACCAAGCACAATGCAAAGCGTCTTATGTGGTGGTGTAAAGCACGACATACCACTGGACTCTAAAGCAGTGGAGAAGTCTTCTCCTTCTGGCAATCTGACTGTCCAGCATTAGTGTCTGACCTAAAACTACATTTCAGGAAAAATCGCCAAAAATTCCCATCATAATAAACCCTATAGATTTAGAATGGGAGTCACTAAAGTTCATATGTGTGTGAAGGCAGACGGGTGAATACATTTGGCAATATAGTGTATTTGAACAGGTGATTAGATTTTGTTGTTAAAGTAGATAAATAGCCTTGTAATGCTTTTAGCCAGTCTGAAGAAAATGTACATCATGTGATCCAACAGGTGATCCAACATGCCATGAACAGACCTCAGAGCATGGCGGCCCAGTACTTGCATCAGATGTACGCAGCCCAGCAGCAGCACTTCATGCTGCAGACAGCAGCCCTGCAGCAGCACCAGCATCCCGCACATCTGCAGAGTCTGGCCGCCATCCAGCAGGTCGGGTGGAGTCTGTCTATGTGCTGTGTGTCTGTGTGAGGATCAAGAATGGAAAGTAAAACGTGTTCTCACTGCTTTTCAGGCTTCAGTCTGTCAGAGGTCACCTTCTTCTTCTACAGGCAGTTTGGTTCAGGCTGCGGGTGTTTCCCAAAACCCGGTAAGCGCTTAAGTGTGTTCTCACTCTGAGCACAAATACACGCCTGAGCCTATTTAGCATTTGTCACAGCTCTCATCATGCCGCCCCTCATCCAGATAACTTTACCAGCATCTCCAGTGACCGCAAGGCTGATTGGTCGAACTCAGACATCCACTGCCAGCGCAGCCACAATATCTCAGCAGGCCATGCTTCTAGGAAACAGACCTGCCAGCTGTAACCAAGCTCAGATGTACCTTCGAACTCAGATGGTAGAAACCTTTTCATCTTTGATCTCGAGCTGCATTCATGCTGCTTTACTGTGTTGCCATATTGACTGCATGAGCAACTGTTTATGGCTGATTTTTAACCAACGTGGCGTCTGAGCTTCCCTGTTGCTTCTATCCTTGCCAGCTGATTCTAACTCCTGCAGCCACAGTAGCTGCAATTCAGTCAGACCTCCCCACTGTGACCTCCTGCTCCTCATTACCTACCTCCTCTCAGGTACAATCATGCCACAGTGCTGCACAATTATGTGCCTCAGGCTGTTACAGAACATACAGTGGACCTATTATGCTCATTTCAGGCTCCATGTTATTGTCCTTGGACTCTTTCGCAGTAGCTTTGCTCACTGCCCGCAGCTTTAAAGTTACTTTCTTCTGATTTGCTGCCCCTCTTGATCTCATCATTAAGGATATCCCTCCCCTCTTTGACATTATAAAAAGCAAAGCGGGTTGTGTTTTTTTTTTTTTTTTCAACATTACATACATTATTTAGATCAGCGGTCTCCAACCTTTTTTGCGCCACGGACCGGTTTATGCCCGACAATATTTTCACGGACCGGCCTTTAAGGTGTCGCGGATAAATACAACAAAATAAAACTAGTACCGGTACCGAAAAAAGAAGATTTATTCATAACACACGTGAAAAGACCCAGGAAAACAGACTTAACGATAAAAATGATAACAAAATAACACTGAAAACCGATAAAAACCCTGAAAACCATACATTTCACACCCGAGCCTCAACTCTCGCGGCCCGGTACCAAACGACTCACGGACTGGTACTGGTCCGAGGCCCGGCGGTTGGGGACCGCTGCTTTAGATCATAATATAAGGAACAGCAGAATAGGTCCACTATTTCTGTATTTATTTACGTGATGTCAGTGTGTTAGGACAAGGTACAGCACTGGCTCTTTACTCCATGACCAGAAACGTTTAATAACTGCGAAGACTAACTGTTAACCTCTAATACTCGCTGCAGAATCTGGCTCTGCGTACCCATTTGCCGGGAGCTCTGGCTACAGCCCACAGCGTCATCTTAAAGCCTTCCACCGAGTCCCAGGCCCTGCCTGCAGCCACCTCTTTGTCCAAGACTCCAGTCTGTGGGCTGAAGAGCACCCAACTGACTGATGGCTCAACAGAAACAGCGCCATCTGATGCCACCTCGCTGGTGTCAGGACCCCAGATTATAACCCCAGGTGAGAGTGTGTCTTCCACGGTTTGAGATAACTGCAAGTATAAGAGGCCAGAGACAAACTTAGGGTGGACACTTGGTTTTGGTTTGATACAAGCCATGCAGCAAGCATACTGATGTTCATGTAATGCAGATGTTTGCTTTTTTTTGTCAGGTTGAGTTTTTAATGACAGCTCACCTGCTGGTTATTATGTTCCTCATGCTCCCTCTGCAGCCTACCCTCCAGTGCAAACCCACACTCTAGTCAAGCAGCAGCTGTCCTGTCCAGTAGGCCAGCAGGTGGCGCACCACCAGCTCATCGTCCAGCAGGCCACAGGAGGGGCTCCCAGCAGCAGACAGTTGCAACCAATTGCCCTCAGAGTAGCACCCCGAGATACCCACTCCAATCCTCTTCCTCTGTCGGTTAAAAGACTAACCGCCTCCAGCACCCACTCACAACTACGAAACGAGCCCCCAGCCCTGTCTTCTTCTTCCTCCCCATTAGTCACCAGCATGCTTGCATCATCACCTCAGGCTTCAGTCCCAGCTGCTGCCGTTCAGCCTCAGCCACCTCCTCTGGTGGCTGCGCCACAGCGTCGGACCTCATTCCCACAGAGCCAGCAGCCTCCACCTCCTCCTCCTCCTCTCATTCTCCCCAGGCTGCCCCAGAACCCCCCGGCCTCCCTTCACAGGGTGTCCCTGCACTCAGTCCGGGCTTTGGCTGTCCAGTCAGGACAGGTACTGCTGACGGAGCGAGAACTGCCTGTGGCGGAGGCTCTGGTCCAGATGCCCTACCAGAACCTGCCACCTCCTCAAACGGTGGCTGTTGATCTGAAAGTGCATCCAGTCAAACACAACGAAACTGCACCCGTGAGTCAGCACGTCCTGCTTTGAAGAGCTCCTGAGTAGATTATGAGTTGGTTTGAATGAGGTTTTGTTTTGGTTTGATTTTCAGTTGGGGCAAAAGTGCAACGTGAACAGTCAGAGCTCAGAGGAAAGGAAAGATCCTCCAAGTTCAGAACAAGACGGGACCACTACACCACCCAAAAAAAAAGATTCAGGTACAGAATTATTCAGTTAACAGGATAACCTGCCTCCGTGAGACCCCCCTCACCCCTCACTCTTTATGCTTTTTATTGTGTAGCAGTGACGGGTTCATCCTCCATCACCCCCAGCCACTGGAGGAGTCCTCCAGTGGAGGAGTCCTCCCAGCTCACGACCACTGACAATAGCGGCAATAGTGGCACCAACAACCCTCCTCCTCCACCACCTTCTCCTTTACCTCCTCCCCTCCTCCCTGCTTCAGCAAAAGTCCCCAGCCAGCCTCCTTCTGCCCCTGCAAGTCTCCCAGGAAGCCCCACGAGGTCAACCCACGTCCTCACACACCTCGTGGAGGGCTTTGTCATCAAAGAGGGCCTGGAGCCGTTCCCGGTATGTGGAGGTGCCCTTTGCAGAAAGTTCACTGCTGATTAATGGGAAGCACTACAAAAGCACTTAAAATCAGCTTTAATCAATTATTTAATTATGTGTGTATAAACAAAAGGAAAATATTTCTGGAGCAGGTGAGGAGAGAAAGGTGGAATAAAACTTTTCCAGGCATTTAAAACTTAAGTAAATGTCTAATTTTAATATTATAAACAGATGTAAGAATGACAAATGAAATATGACAGCACATCACTGTCTTTACATTATAACACTGGTGATGCTCTACAGTCAACAAATGATGTCTGTCACTTTATCAAAGCTGCTGGCATGGCTCATTTATGCAGAAGGTGTCTTTTTACAAGGAAGCTTGATGCAACTAGTTAGAGCTATAGTGAGAGGAACTGGTCAGTGCCAACTTGTAATCTGTCACCATGCAGTGTTATTGTTGTGCAGGACGTTGTGTGAAACCTTGTTTCAGTGAATTTAAACTTTATTCTTTTTCTTTTTTTCTGCCATTTGGGTTTAAAAAATTGGTGTAAGGTTTTCAATTTTTGAATGTGCTACTCAATGCAGGTGGGTCGGTCATCACTGTTATCGGAGCAGCAGGCTTCCCTTCCAGAACCCCAGGACGTACCGACCAATGGGGACGCAGCAGACGACAGTCCTCTGGATGCTGACCAGTCAGATTCATCTGACTCCGAGATGGAAAATGATGGCCCTACAGGAGAAGGTGAGAGAGGTGTGTGTGTGTGTGTGTGTGTGTGTGTGTGTGTGTGTCTGAACATGCATGATTAACAGCTGGTCCTCTGAAGTTGCAGAGCTCGGGGAGAGTGTGCCAGACGTGTTGCAGTGTGAGTACTGTGGAAGCAGCGGCTACGCTCGCACGTTTCTGCGCTCCAAACGCTTCTGCTCCATGTCGTGTGTCAGAAGGTAAATAAAACATTTACACAACGTACTAAGTTTTGTCCTCTAGTGTAATTAGTTATTACAAAAGAAACATAGTTTCAGTGATTCACTCTGTTAACATGAACAAACTGTAGGTTATTACAGACGCTCATCAGCCATAAGCTCATAAGCTTTGCTTATTGCACCACATCTCAAAGGTGCTCTACTAGACTGAGATCTGGTGACTGTGGAGGGCATTTACAGTGAAGTCATTGTCATGTTAAAGAAACCAATTTTAGGTGATTTGAGCTTTGAGGTTTTGGTGTTATCCTGCTGAAAGAAGCTATTATTAGATTGTTACACTATATAAAGGGATAGACATAGTCCGCAGCTCGGGTAGGCTGTGGTGTTTTAATGGTGCTCAGTCGGTACAAGAGGCCCAAAGTGTACCAAGAAAATCGAGGACGAGCAATAGTTTTACAATCATCTATTGCAAGTTTTGGTGAGCTCATGTGAACTACAGCCTTAGTGTTTTGTTCTTAGCTGACAGGAGTGGTATCCACTGTGGTCTCCTGCTACTGTAGCCCATCTGATTCAAGGTTTTTTGTCTGCATACCTTGGTTATAATGAGTTGTTAATGGCTATCTGAGTTGTTGCCTTGCTATCAACTTGAAACAGTCGGGCCATTATGCAGTGTGATAGGCTGATTAAATATTTGTGCTAACGACCAGTTAGCACAAATATATGTACTATGTGAGTGTACATCATACAGTAAACACTCAGCAGGGACTGAAATATGAATTAATCCACTGATGAAAATAGCTCCAAAACAATTAATGTTTTGGCTCTGTTAGGCTACAGTGCTGTTAGCTGTTTTAAAAAACAAACAAAAACAAATTACCTTAACCCTGGGAACCTTTTGTGGGGGTGACTGGATGATATATATTTGAGGTTCAGACTAACAACAGGTTAGAGATCCAGGTGAGAGTTCTGCTGGGAAAACTTATAAAAATATACTAAAAAACTGCTGCCACAAAAAAAAGAAAAAAAAAGAAAGAAGTGGTTTTAACCTATAACCAACACAGACAACCAGGGCAAAGACAGTTCAATCGCCAACATAAAGAACGACACTGAAACAGCCGAAACAAAAAAAAAAAAACACCCAAACAAAAACAAACCCTTAATCATCTAGTAGCTCCTTTGGTTCTCACGGGTTATTGTAATCTGGGAAGTGCAGAACGGAAAAGTGGCAGTAAAACGACCAATATGAGCAACCTGAGCACAACTCAGACGAAGACCTATCATTATGGTCATCGTGTGTGACTTTCACTAAAATCAGACCAATTTTTGTGACCTGAAGGCAGACACATCACCATCACGTAAGCTCAGTGGTCCTCCAGCATGAAAAAACAGGCGCTTCATCACCTCCATCCTGCTGCCCATGACCAGGAAATCAATCTCACTTCACCATGTTGAAGGAAATCTGAATTCCTAAAATATATCAGGAGGACTGAGGAGAGAGGAGGCTTTAGCTATAATTGAGAATGCAAATGCGTGTCCACTGTGGATGCATTTATTTACCTTTAGCATATAAAAGAGTTGTAGGAAACAGCTGGAATATACAAGTCATAGTGGGAGGAGGATTCCTTTTAAACAAGTCATCCTTTTTTCACGTTATTTAACATGATCAAAGTTTCTGCCCTGCACAAAAAAGCACCATGTGTTAAATTAAAGTAATTCTATTTATTTATTTATTTATTTATTGTCATGAGCACAGTTATGTCTGATGTCATAAAATCCAGCTGTGGGTCTGCTAGAACAAAAATGACACATTTCATCGGCATCACTTTAAAATGAGGTGTGACATTTGTGAGGATGACTCAATTTTCTAAGTGCCTGTTCCCTCAGCTCATTTGTTCTCGTGTCTCTTCCTCACCTCCTCCTCTCCCATCACCGATGGAAGAAAATAATGTGAAGAGATGGAGCAAATGCATTGGGCACTTGCAAACTATGAAATAAAAAAAGGGATTAAGACATGCAGACTTAGGGAACAGGTAACCTAAATCAGAAATTAAAAGAGCAAAGATGGGAAGTAAAAGAACGTAGTAGTAGTAGTGGAAAACCACATTAGGATCCCACCTTCAAAATAAAACAGGAACTACGCTGGAAGAAGCACTCACAAGAGGAACACAAGGGGTGTGTTAAAAAGAAACACAAAACAAGAATTTATGATGGCAAGAAAAAGCCAAGAATCAGCATTTCACAACACAGGGCAGATGCATAACACAAAGTCAGTGTAAATTTTAATATTTTATGGTTTGTTATGAAAAGTTGATCTTTGTCCGTGAGAACAATGATGATTCATTATTTTGAATCTTTTTATGTTGTTGTTTTTAGTGTTGGCGTGTGTCATTCGGCTGAGGTTCACCACACTGTCTTAGTCTGTGGAAAACATGAGCAACACTCACGAACTGCCGGCTTTAACAACAAAGCACTTTTTTCTCTGCAGAAACTACAGAAAATTACAGTCTGTGTCAGTAAAGTTGAATTACATCATCGCTGACGCAAGTAGATAATCACTCCCAGGTTTCCCCCTGAGTCTCCATCAAAGCAACAAAAAGAGGACAGCTCGGAGTCCCGATGCTACCTTTCCCAACTTATTCACAGACTTCAAGGATGATGTGATATAATAACATTAGGGACGAACGCACTTATTAACCATCTGTCAAGGTTATCCGTCATCCAGGTCATCATAGTTTTCAAAAAACCTAAAGAAGTCCAGACGCATTTCCTTTCAAGCTCCTTAGAGCATTTATTTACTCTTAAATAACCCTTAAAAATCCTCACTCTTTTTACCCTAAGGACAAAAATGCCACCTTCCCATAAACTGCTGTAAAAATATTACTACATAATATTTTTTCCACTTTAAATGATTCAGCCTTTTAAACTACATCAGCCTGAAATATAAATATCAAAAATGTATTATAGTTTTTGGGTTTTAACCCTTTAAAGACGGGGAACTCCAGCTGAGGTCGAGACTGCCAGCTTTTCTCTTTCCATCTGTGCAAAAGTCACACTGCCTTTGCATTTACTGAGTCCACATAAGCCACTGAGTGTTTCCCATGCAGGTTTGTCAGGGCCACAGTTTGCTACAGGATATCATCCAGGATAGTGTGTAGGTCCAGGGATCAAACCTCTGGCTGCTGGGGCATAGCAGAGCGTTGCAGTCTTTGTGGGGGACCAAAATATGGGGTTGACCAAGATGGAGAAGTGATTGAGGAGTCTATCCTGTCACTGCTTCAACTAAACCACCCCCTTTCCACTCTTACCTTCAGATGAGTCAGAGCTGGACTCCAGCTGGTCCATTTCTACCTCTGAGACCTCCTCCATGTCAGCCTCAGAGTCCTCAGAGGAGGATGACGGCATCTTAACACTCATGGTTCACGATCACTTCCAGAGCCTGTGTGTGCTGTAAAGTCTTGCCATCTCCAAAATGACTGCTCCTGCACTACTGCGCGTACTTCTAACTGTGGCTGCCGTGCAGATGCATAAACTACTTGAGTGAGAACCAAAATAAAGTCCAATTTTGTTTTGGTTCCTGCTGCTGAGATATTGTTGAAGCTCTGAAAGGGTTCTCATCATTCACTGTTATCGAATT